CTAAAGTGCTACTCTGAAACGCCTTACTCCTGGTGGAAGAAGGTTTACAGAGACTTCAAATAGTGAGCCCATGATATTTTGAAGTAAGGGGCAGCTCTGAACACCGGAATAGCTATTTCCGGATAATAGCACTGCAGTGTAGACCAGCCTAAGGTGCCAGAGGACTCCTCCTTGTTTTTAAAGCTACAGATGAACACTGCTACCCCTCTGAGACGTTCATCCCTCACACCTATGCCCTTCTGCTCTCCAAGATATGGCCACTCTCCAATAAAGGCAACACTCTATGCCCCACAAACTCGTCCTGATCCCCGAACCTCTTGGCAAGTGCAGTCTAGTAGCCGGCTGGTAAGTGCTCAGAAATTAAAGCGTGAGATGAGAGTAAGGAAATAGACTCCGAGGGGGCACCTCCCTAGCACCAGCCGCGACCCAAAAGAGGGGAAAGAGAGACCCGGACTTTTTCACCAAAGTCCTGCGTTTCATTATTGTTCCTGAAACAGCCTCCGCAGCCCCACTCCGACAGCACGGGCAAGCCGGGCTGGGACCCACAGGGGAGTAGCAGCACCACCGTCTCTTGGAATATTAGCTCTCCCCGGGTGTTTTTGTGTTGCTTCCAAGAACAAACTCCCTAGGCCTCGCACAGGCCGGGCCAGGGAGTTTGGCGGCTTCGGGTCACTTTTAAGGGCATGAAGATAAACCAGCGAAACTTTCTTTGTTTGTCCCTCGAACACTTGCTGCGACATTCGAACCTTCTGCTTAAAAAAAAAAATAGTGGAGCGGATCCTTGGAGTTGTTGGTTGTCAGCATTTTACTTCGTTTCGTTCTCTCTTTCCCAAGGCAGTAGCATCACCGGCGTGTTTGGACAGAGTCAATTAAAAATAAGAAAAGGAAAAGCCAAACCTGTCCTCTAAAAGAGCGAGGTTTGAAGCCCTGTAATATCTACGAACCATTATATAACCAGGGGGGAGCTTTAGACTGGCAGAAATACTTCAGCGCAGCTCAACTCCCGATTGTTACATCCTCGCTTACCACTCAAACCTCGGACTTTAACTTTGTCATGTCCCTAATAATGAAAAGCAAATGTGAACGCAAAAAGGATTGGCCGTCGTTTTCCAACACGGATGTTTATTTGGAATAGGGCCTTAAAAAACCCCAAATCGGTGGGAACCCTCCAAAAGCAATCTAATGATCTCAGAAAGGAGCGAGTCGGAATCGGGTGCCCTACAATCTGATTTCAATGTGTGAACATCTGAATAGCTGGTGTCCAGTCACACCGCATTTTTCATGTATGGAAGAGCTAGTCTCAGTCCTACGGAAAAGGGGTTCCCTATTGTTTACTGTTGGTTCTTTTTTTAAACACTAGGTCCATTAAAATATTTTTGTGTAATTATATACTCACACATACACACACATATATACACAAACACGTTGGATATTTTTATGCCTGATGATCTATCTGAAATTTCCTTCAGATCCCCGAATATCAGAGGCATTTAGAACAGAAGAGGTCTTCATTAAAAACCCTAATCAAAGAGCAGCCGTGGTAAATACTTCGCAAAATACAGAAAGCCTTGCAAAGGACCGGTTCTTAAGGCGCGTAGCATGTGCACTTTGTGTTTGTTCATCTATGCAGACACTGTTGTGTGTGTGAAAAATTTTATAGACAATTATAGATATCTAGCAGAATACGCAACGATTAATATTACACCGTAGGGCCGTATGTTTAATTTCTCTGGCTGTGGAATTCCGTAATTTGGCTCCTTCTCTTATTATAAGCCCTAATCGTTTGATTTACAGCTATTAAAGCCGAGAGGCTCCTGTCCCAATAGATAAATTATAGTCTCAAGTGATCCAAAACAATTTGCATCTCGCGCTGGGAACTGCGTTAGGGTGGTGGTTGTTTTTTTTCAAACTTGCCCTTCTCCTGGAGAGCCAGAGTAAAATTACAAAGAATTTTCGCTTCTAAGTCCCCCCTCTTCCGTAGCCCCTTTGGAAATCAGGTAATCGAGGCAAACTCCCAGGAGAACTTCACATCTGCTTAAAATATTGTCCAATGAAATGAAATTCTACAACAGATTGAGTTGTTAATAGACTGCGCGCCTATCCACCGAACCCGCCGAATGCGGGTGTATCGCTTTACCGAGGAGAGATGGGCGTATGAGTAGCTGCAAGCACGCCCGGACGGGCTGGAAGCTGGGCGAGGGCGCGTACAGAGGTGTGCTGAGGATGATCCGGCTGGGGCTTTGTGTGGGAAGAGCAGCAGCCGAGTGTGTGAGCGAGCCAGAGAGCCGCACATCGGTGTGTATCGTCTGTTTGGCAAATCAATACTCCCGGGATATGGAAAGCGTCGCTTTGGGCTACTGTTTTGAACTGTGAGCCCTAAAAACCCTCGGCTCAAGCCCCATAAACCGCTGGGCCGCGAGTTGTACGAAACACCTGATTTTAATCAGCGCGCAGCCTCCCAAGTCCACACTTCCAGCTTCAGCGCTCAGGCACCAGACCTGATGCAGAAGTGAAGTCTCCTGTTCCAAGCGGAGGGGCCCCCAGCTCCCCTGCCCGGCGCTGCCGGGCCCTGGAACGCTTTCCTCGGCTAGTTCCCTTCCCGAAGCCCCTCTAGCTTGGGGGTGGAAGATTAGGTCCTGGAGATGCACTCTGCTCTCTAAGAGCAAGCTGGGCGCATGCTATAGAATCCTGTGCGTCTAACTAGCCGGGCTGGGCGCACTTCCCCATTAGACGCACTCTCGTTTCAGCTGCTACACCACAACATAAAAAACTACTCCATTATGCTCCCCTCGCTTCTCCACCGGGGAGGGAGGAAGCCTTTTAAAAACATGTTCAGCTTCTTACCTAAAAGACGATAAATAGCCAGTGTTTTCCGGGGTATTTTTTAAATAGAGGCCTGTAAGGCATAGGTGGAAAAGCACAGTGTTAAGTGCAAGACTGCTTCGCTAAGGCGGCACTCCAAGCGCTTTGTAAGCCCCGCGCGCCTTTGTACGCCGCTTTTGTGTTCACGCGGCCACATGCAAAACTGCGAGGAAGGGGTGCGTATATTCCGCACATGCACACAGCTGTGGGAGGAGGTTGGGTGTCTTAATGGGGCGTATTGAAAAAAATACAACCTCAGAGTTAAGCGGCTGGGCCTGGCCTTCGGGCTTGCGGATGTGAGTTGTGTCCTTTTAAAAAAAATTAAAAAGTGTTTGGAAGTGTCAGTTTTCAGAGGCTACGCTAAGCCACTTCACATTGCAAGGATTAAAAGGGAAGCAAACGACTGGAAAAATGCGATTTGCTTTATTATTAAGCATGTAGGGAGCGGCGGACTCTTAGTTCAGGCTGTGCTGTGCAAAATTGGGAAGAACAATTCCAACCGAAGAAGGGAGAAGCCACTGTCTGAGTGGACGCAAGAATTGGTCCCGGTAAACCACGAAAAAAAACCCTTGACTTTAAAAAAAACCACAGACACACCAAAGATGCTACACAATACTACACCTGAATTACAAAATCAACCCTTGAAATCAACTCTTGCTATAAGAGATGTCTGTGTCTCTTTCACTTACCGGCCGGCCCCATTTGGAAAATTAAAAGTCTAAACTACAAAATAAAATAAACCTAAAATACGAGTTAGTTTTCTCCCTTTTCCCCTAGCCCCAGGGTCATTTAAGATTCTAATTCCTCCTCCCCAGCAGTTAGACACAAACTTCGCTCCTCTTACCTGGAACAGCTTTCTCCCCTCTTCACTGCCATGACCTACGTTAAAAATGTGTGTGTATGCAAAGGGGGCTGCTCCTATCGGATCCCACATATTCCTGGACCGTCCAAATATTAATAAGTCCTGGAAGAAACAGTGTGAAAGGGCTGCTACTTAAACGAGACACCGCTATTTTAAAAGTATTAAAACACAATTGTAAGGAGCACAGAGAATGAGTTTGAAATTACAGCCTCCAGATATTTTGCACAGAGCCGGAATGAAACAAACTTTTTTTTAAAAAAAAAGCGCAGCTTTTGACAGATTCACTAGGCACTTAAATTCCCTACTGCACTCAAACTTTAATATTGAACCAGCTCGGAAACACAAGCAAGTATTTAAAGCTGGACTCTACAAAGAAGGTGGAAGCGGTGGGGGTAGGAATAAAACCACTCTCTTTTCTACAGGCAGCCAACTCCTCGTGTGAAGATTCAGCTTTGCAAAACAGAAAGTAAGAAAAAAAAAGACCAGGAGAAAAGGGGGGGGGGGGGGGGGGA